AAAAAGAAGAAATTAAAGAAGAAATAGAAGAAATAGAAAGAGAAGAAAGAGAAGAAATAGAAGAAGAAGGAATAGAAAAAGAAGAAATCAAAGAAGAAATAGAAGAAATAGAAAGAGAAGAAATACAAGAAATAGAAGAAGAAATTGTTGGTGGTGGTCAGTTTCATTTTGTGTGCATACACACACAAACACACACATGTACAGTGTAGAAAGGAACCCTGAAAAGCTTCCATACCTCCATTCGGCTTCAATGTGCAAACATTCGTATTTCTCTTGGACTTCGCCCACCGTCATGTCTGGATGCAGCCAGTGGATCTCATCAGATTTCACATGCTTCAGGCGTAAAGCATAGCATTCGGCAAGCTGGATATCTGGGCCAATCCGCCCGCTCTGCAAAATGGATTGGATGACCTCCTGCATGTCAGAGAGAGCAGATCAGGTTAGGACACAGACAAAGGGGCCATCTGCAAGTATGATCTTTTAAATTTAAAATATCTAAAGGGACATCATGTAGAAGATGGAGGAAGCCTGCTTTCTGTTCCTCGAGACAGTAGGAGATGAACCAGAGGTATTCAAATCACAAAAAGGATTCCCACTAAACATTAGGAAGAACTTTCTGATGTTTAAGAACTATCGAAAAAGAGAAAACACCAGGAATCACTCAACTATTGAATAGCAAGTGTGTAAACAGGTCACAGCAAGAGTGGAGGGAAACCGGATTAATTGACCCATGTTGACATGTCCTGAGATATGCCTGTATTGCACTAGACAGTCTTCTGATTTGATCCAGTTTCAGGGCTCTGTTTAGATGGTTATCTCTTACATCTACATCCTTTTCCTCCCAAATGAGATTGAGAAGGCTTAGGCAAGAGAAGAGGAATCGGGACAATTCATTGCATAGGTGCAGGGTGATCAGACGTCATTACCACAAAAGAGGACAAGGCCTTGCAAAATGTAGGGCATTCAAGAAAAATGTAGGACATCACAAAATAAAAGCTAAGAACACTCATATAAGTTCATTTCATAGGGTTTATTTACAACTACATTACATACACTGTGTATTACTATTATGCAAGGGATCTTGGGGCACCTTTGAGACTACCTGCATGCACCTGATGATGTAGATTAATAATATCCACTTTTTATAATCGGATGTTAATTTTATTTGATTTGTTTTACCTGTGTGTCTGATGTTTATCTGTATGTCTGATCTGTTAATAAATAAATAAATAAATTGTGAGCTTTCATAGACTTGAGCCTGCTTCCCAGATGCATCTGAGGAAGCAGACTTACGGTAAGTCTGTGAAAGCTCATGCCGCCAACTTCTTTCTTTCAGTTCTTCTCAAAAGTGTTGCAAGATCCCTTTGCATATCGATTTTCCAGACTAACATGGCTACGTCTTTGTTTGTTGTTGCATGCCTTCAAGTCGTTTCTGACTCATGGGGACCCCAAGGCAAATTGATCATGAGGTTTTCTTGGCAAGATTTGCTCAGAGGAGGTTTGCCATTGCCTTCCCCTGAGGCTGAGAGAGTGTGACTTGTCCAAGGTCACTTAGTGGGTTTCATGGGCTGAGCCAGGAATCAAACCCTGGTCACTAGAGTTGCAGTCCAACACTCAAACCACTGCGCCATGCTGGCTTTTCATTTTTATTTTTTTATGTACTCAACCCTATTTTTCTGTTTAACTTATTTTCCTTAAAATGCCTTGTTGGCTTGCAAGATAGTTATAGAATGCCAAGCAACACAAATGTTTAAAACTGTACTTTGCTAGCAACAAACCCTCGACCGAGTCTACATTTAAATTATTCCTTTCATTTGTCCATTGCGCTGAAATAAATGGGGAAAAAACACAACTTTTCAGCATTTGCACTGTGTACTCAAGCAGCCCATTTTCTAATACCACATTTGCTGTCCTTTCCCCCCTTTGAGTAACTAATGCACTCTGAGCTCTGGGTGCGACTCTCGTCTTCTGATGCTCCAAGGAAAAAACAACCTTTGAAGGAATCACCCTATTCTCCCTATTTGCAGCAAGGACAGCCTGCCAAATGGACACATTTCTTGAAGGGGAACAGCGAATGTGGTTACTCCAATGGACTTCTTAGTCATGCTCAAAATGGAGGATATTTTGGAATTCCTCCTGGACAGAAGGTTTAAATGGAGGACATGTCCTGGAAAAGGAGGACGCCTGGACACCCTGGCACATATGGAATGCATTGGTAGGGATGTGACAAATTCCTATCACTTTTTGCTATACATAGTGAGATATTGGTTACTCGATGCTTCCATAAACTCTTTAACAAGCTGCGAAACTTGCAGCTTCTCAATCGAGGAGTAAGACATTTTTATTTTATTTTATTTTATTTTTGCATCATTTGGTGCTGGAAGGGGAAACTGGGGTGGCACTGGCACATATGCTCCGGGAATGTTCTGTCATGTACTCCTCTATTACAGGATGTTTTTGGAGGCCATCTGCAAACTCATATTTATGCAAAATCTTCTGAACATCCAAACAGGATTTTATTGCAAGGTGAGGGAGACCAAAACCCAGAGTTTGGAGACCTCGGACCAGGGGCACCGGATGGGTCCCAGGGGACGGGAGTGGCGAATCCGACCTGGAATTTAGTCGAAACTCGAAAGAGGCTCACCAAGGGGATGAAATTATTTGACATGAAAGAGGAATGATTTCCCACCCCACACTTTTTATATGAGATCTGTAACATTGGGATAGGGTCCAGCACCTAAGTGGCCTCCAGCTAAAACATTAATTTGTGTTGGAGAAAAGTCAGGAAGAAAAATCTGTCCATTGCACCCCCATGTCCATTAAATGTATTCATTTATGGACTTTATATCCTGCCTCTCTCCTAAAATGGGACTCAAAAATATGTTTGCACCCCTATGCCCATTAAATGTATTCATTGATGGACTTTATATCCTAACTTTCTCCCAAAATGGGACTCAAAAATACGTTTGCATTTCCATGTCCATTAAATGTATTTATTGATGGACCTTATATCCTGACTTTCTCCCAAAATGGGACTCGAGGTGCCTTACAATTATCTAAAACACTAATTTGTGTTGGGGAAAATTCAGGGGAAAAAATCTGTTTGCATCCCCATGTCCATTAAATTTATTTATCTATTGGCTTTATATCCTGACTTTCTCCCAAAATGAGACTCAAGATGCCTTACAATAATCCATAAAAGATCCAGCTAAGACATTAATTTGTGTTGGGAAAAAATCAGGAAGAAAAATCCATTAAATGTATTCATTGATGGACTTTATATCCTGCCTTACAAAAACCTATAAAAGATCCAGCTAAAACATTAATTTCTGTTGCCCACTGGGCTTCATGGCTGAGCTGAAACCACGATGCCATGCTAGTGCATTCCCCCAAAACTACACCAACTGGGCTCTATAGCAGAGAATCCTAAGTCACCGCTAAACTAGAAATCCCAGGTTTCCCAAGGATGCGACCATGGCAGTCCAAGCAGAGCAAAATTGCTGTTGTTGCATGGTGCCCCCCTAGCGCTGCCAGCCTTACCCGGATCTCCGTCAAGACGGTGCATTTCACCAGCTTGAAGTTCTTGCCCATGTTGAAGCTGTTGCTGTAGAAGCAAACCTTCAGGATCCGGACTTCGTCCACCTCGAAGGGAACGGCCACCATGGTGGACTCCGAGGGTCCGGCCAGGCTGAAGCAGCTGCGGAGCGAATTGGCCCTGAGCCGGCTCAGGGCTTCCGGCAGTCCGGACATCATTTTGGAGGCCGACGGGATACTAAAGCCGGAGCATCACTCCCTGGCAAGGCAAAGGAAGAGGAGTTGGATGTGCAATGGATCTGTGCCTTGAATCAGAAAACGGGGGGCAAACATTGGAGAAATGGGGGGAAACACAAGCAAACATTTTTTTTTGTTTGTTTGCACTCCCATGTCCGTTACATTTATTTATTTATTGAATTTATATCCCACCATTCTCCCAAAATGGGATTCAAGGTGGCTTACAATAATCTTAAAAAAGGTCCAGGTTGCTAAAACATTAATTTGTCTTGGGGAAAATTCAGGAAGAAAAATCTGTTTTATAGTTTTTTGTGGGTTTTTCGGGCTGTGTGGCCATGTTCTAGAAGAGTTTCTTTCTGACGTTTCACCAGCATCTGTGGCTGGCATCTTCAGAGAATGCTGGAATGGAAGAGAGTGGGAGTATATATACTGTGAGATCCTGGGTAGGGAGGATTGATTCCATGGGGTCTCACAGTATATATAGACCCACTCTCTTCCATTCCAGCATTCTCTGAAGATGCCAGCCGCAGATGCTGGCGAAACGTCAGAAAGAAACTCTTCTAGAACATGGCCACACAGCCCCAAAAACCCACAAAAAAACTATGGATGCCGGCCATGAAAGCCTATGACTTCACATTAAAAATCTGTTTGTACCTCCATGTCCTTTAAATGTATTGATTGATTGATTGGATTTGTATCCCACTTTTCTCCCAAAATGGGATTCAATGTAGCTTACAATAATGTAAAAAAAAAAAAAAGACATTATTTTTATATTATTGTAATCCCGTTTTGGGAGAAAGGTGGGATATAAATTCAAGAAATAAATAAATTTAAAGAACGTGGAGGTACAAACAGATTTTGGCCAAAATCTACCAGTGATACCTTTATTGGACTAACCAAAATGTACGAAATACATAATGCAAGCTTTCAAAGCTCCACTGGCTTCTTCATCAGGCAAAGATGTTAAAAATGATAGAGGAGAAAGAAAATCATTTTTAAAAGCTTTGCCAATACTGCATTGAAAAGAGTCTTGGGATTAATTGTTGATTGTGTATTAAACCTGAGGCAGTAGCGTGATGCTGCAGCAAAGAAGGCAAATGCTATTTTAGCCTGCAGAGTTTTCAAGTCAAAGGAAGCAATAATCTCCATATATTCTGTGCTAATCGTTTTGAAGAGGTTTCTATTCAAAATGCAGGCTTGTGACTAACATCGTCATTCTTTTCCCCTTTTCTTCTCCTGTATGATTTTTAACATATTTGCCTAAAGAAGAAGCCAGTGGAGCTTTGAAAGCTTGCATTGTGTATTTTGTATATTTTGGTTTGCCAATAAAGGTATCACTGTTTTGTGCATTTGGGATCTTATTGTACAAAATTTGTTGTTGTTGTTGTTGGTATCTGTTGAAAGAATGGAATTGAAAAGCCAACAAAACAAAAGGTAGTAGAAATAAGCTTTACCTACATCTACTTGAAAAAGTAACAATATATATATATATATATATATATATATATATATATATATAATTACCAGCTTGGTAAATGAAGGGAATGTGGTAGATATAGTATATCTTGATTTCAGTAAGGCTTTTGACAAGGTCCCTCATGAAAAAGTAACATAACAATATATATAATATATATAAAATTAAAGTTTATTTCTAAAACGCTGTCAATGTACACATTGTAATATATATATTACAAAAGTATTCAAAACCAGTATATATGTATACAAAAGGTACAAAACGAACAGGAGCAATAATAGCAAACAGAATAATATAAAAATAGCAAATACCATATATCAAATAATATAAACTACATTGAAACAGGTAACACAAAATATAATACAAAGAAAAAGGCTAAGAGAAAGAGTGAAAGAGGGAGAGGGATAAACCACAAACTAAAGGTAGGCTTTTGAAGGCTCAACAGCTGCTTAAGGCAATACAATACATTCAGCTGAAGATCATTTCTAGCTCAGTAGCTCACCATTAACCCTATAATGACTCAAGTTATAAATCTTGTTCCTATTCCAACTGTATCATCATCATCATCATCATCATCATCATTATTCTAGGTTCTAGAGCAGCTCATAGAATCATAGAGTTGGAAGAGACCTCAAGGGTCATCCAGTCCAGCCCCATTCTGCCATGCAGAAATTCAAAATCAAAGCATCCCTGACAGATGGCCATCCAGCCTCTGTTTAAAATCCTCCAAAGAAGGAAACACTACCAAAATCTCCGAGGGAGTGTCTTTCACATGAAACAGAGAGTCTGTGAACATTTAGAAGGGAAAGCCATAATCACTAAAAGTCAACATGGGTTTCTCAAAAGCAAGTCATGCCAGACTAATTTGATCTCCTTTTTTGATAAAATTACCAGTTCGGTAGATGAAGGGAATGCAATAGACATAGTATATCTTGATTTCAGTAAGGCTTTTGACAAGGTCTCCCATGATATTCTTGCAAACAAGAGAGTAAAATGTGGGCTAGACAATACAACTGTTCGGTGGTTTAGTAACTGGTTGACTGACCGAAGCCAAAGGGTGCTCAGCAATGGCTCCTCTTCTTCTTCATCCAGGAGAGAAGTGACCAGTGGGGTGTCCAGTGGGGTTTTGTCCTGGGCCCAGTTGGCTATTCAACATCTTTATCAAGGACTTGGATGAAGGAATAGAGGTCATGCTTCTCAAATTTGCAGATGACCCAAAATTAGGAGGAATAGCTAATACCCCAGAAGACAGGATGAAAATTCAAAATGATCTTAGTAGATTAGAAAGCTGGGCCAAAGCTAACAAAATGAATTTCAACACAGAGAAATGTAAGGTACTGCTCTTAGGGCAAAATTTTTTTTAAAAAATGAAATGCATAGATATAAGATTTG